TCCTCTGGGGTGTTAGCCACCCCTCCCAGTTTGGTGTCATCTGCAAATTTGATCAGGATGCCCTTGAGTCCATCATCCAAGTCATTGATAAAGATGTTGAATAAGACCGGGCCCAAGACAGAACCCTGTGGCACCCCACTAGTCACTCTTCTCCAGGATGAAGAGGAACCATTGATGAGCACCCTTTGGGTTCGGTCAGTCAGCCAGTTACAAATCCACTGAGTGGTAGCATAGTCAAGACCGCATTTTACCAGCTTCTTTACAAGAATATCATGGGGCACCTTGTCAAATGCCTTGCTGAAATCAAGGTAGGCTACATCCACTGCGTTCCCTTCATCTACCAGGCTTGTAATTCTGTCAAAAAACGAGATCAGGTTAGTCTGACATGACTTATTTTTCAGAAATCCATGCTGACTATTGGTGATCACAGCATTCCTTTCTAGGTGCTCACAGACTGTTTGCTTAATGATCTGCTCCAGAATCTTCCCTGGTATTGATGTCAGACTGACTGGGCGATAATTATTTGGGTCCTCTCTTTTCCCCTTTTTGAAAATAGGGGCAACATTTGCCCTCCTCCAGTCTGCCGGGACTTCGCCTGTTCTCCAGGAATTCTCAAAGATGACTGCCAGTGGTTCTGAGATCACATCTGCCAGTTCTTTTAATACTCTTGGATGCAGTTCATCTGGCCCTGGAGACTTGAATACATCTAAACTAGCCAAGTATTCTTGTACTATCTCCTTAGTTATTCTGGGCTGTGTTTCCTCTGCTGAATCATTTGCTCCAAATTCTTCAGGTCAGGCATTGTTTTCTTTATCGGAGAAGACTGAGGCAAAGAAGGCATTGAGGAGTTCAGCCCTTTCTGTGTCCCCTGTTTGCATTTCACCATCTTCTCCTCTGAGTGACCCCACTGTTTCTTTGTTCTTCCTTTTGCTACGGACATACCCATAAATGCCTTTTTTGTTGCTTTTAACCTCTCTAGCAAGCCTGAGTTCATTCTGTGCTTTAGCTTTTCTGACTTTGTGTCTACATGTGCTGGCTATTTGTTTGAATTCCTCTTTGGTGGTTTCCCCCCTTTTCCATTTTTTGTACACATCCTTTTTTAATCTTAACTCAGTTAAAAGTTCTTTAGATAGCCACCCTGGCTTCTTTAGGCACCTTCCATGTTTCCGTCTCATTGGTATTGCCTGAAGTTGTGCTTTTACTATCTCCCTCTTAACAAACTCCCAGCCATCATGAACTCCCTTTCCTTTTAGTATTACTGTCCATGGGATCTCACCCAGCACTTCCCTAAGTTTTATGAAGTCGGCTTTCTTAAAGTCAAGAAATTGAGTCCTAGTATGCTTGGCTGCTCCTTTCCGCTGTATAGTAAACTTCAGAAGAGCATGATCACTCGCGCCTAATGATCCTTCCACTTCTACCCCACTAACCAGGTCATCAACATTGGTTAGGACCAGATCTAAAATGGCTGTTCCTCTTGTTGCTTCTTCCACTTTCTGGACAATGAAGTTGTCTGCAAGGCCAGTGAGGAATCTGTTTGACCTTATGCTCTTGGCTGAGTTTGACATCCAACAAATATCCGGCCATTTCCAAACACTCAGGCCATTTCCAAACATTTTCTTTATAATAAATGCCTACTGTAAAAGCTAAACCAACACTAAATAAAGATTCCCAAACCTCATTTGGTATGTCCATCTGATGATCTTTTTGTGGGATAACCAGCCTCATATAACTAAGATGCTAATTAAAGCCTAATTAATGCATAATGGGGTTAATACCATAGAATAAGCTGCCCTGCTGGGCTTAGCTATATCCTCTTTCCCTCACCTAGGGAGGAACTAGGTAATCAAGGCCAATCTACCTGAGAAGCTCAGCATGTGAAGAGGTTTGAGCTGGTTGCTCCAGCTCGCCTGCATGGCTCTCACCAGCCACTCTTGAGTTCCTGTACCAATCTAGAAACCTTTACCCCTTTATAACTAAGCTAACTTGCCTTTGCACATTTTCTGAAGCATATGAATCTGAACTTCGGAGAGTTTGTAAGTAAACCATTTCTTTTCTTACCAAACGTATGGTTCCCCCCCCATGCTTGGAGAAGAGGGAAACTTTAGAAAGAAACCTTTTCAGGGGACATTTTAGAACTCACTTGGAGGGGCACATATTTTAAAAGTCTAGCAGCCTATATTTCCATGCTTTAGTTTGCTGCATGTTTTGTGATTTTAAATCTCTGCTAATGACATCACGTGCATGCGCAGAAGTGGTGAACTGCCACACGTGCAGACACGGGTTGCGTTCGCTTCTGGATGTGAACGGGACTCCGGAACTGTACAATGTGCCTGTGCTTCACTCTCCCACTTTCGTTAGTTAATATTTGATAGATAATTTGGTGAGGGCTCCCCCCCCAAAAAAAAATGTATTCCCAATTAACCTTTCAAATTCCATTTTTGTTGTTCTTAATTCTTAAATATGTTTTCATTTGTATAAATTGGAACGCGGGGTGGGGAGGTTACTGTTCACATTCATCTAACATTTGCCAAACATCTTCAGCTATAAACCTAATTACAATAGTTTAAAATGTCTGTGCATCTTAAGAGTTAACTACCATTCATTTCAAGGGCATTGTGCAGTAGAAGTGCTTCCTGGATTGTGCTCATGGGGTCAGATCTGTCTGCCTCCCAGTTTTAATGACCACCCACATTGCCACTTCAGCCAATTCCTACATTTTTATCCTGCCATTGCTCAAGGAGCTGTGGTTGGTTTACATGGTTCTCCTTCACCTCAATTTTATTACTACAACAGCCTTCGTGGGCAAAAGAGGATTTGAATGTGGGTTTCCCTGGTCCTCCCAGTCTGACATTCTAAGCGCTACTCCATGCTGTCTCTTGCCCTGAAAACAAGGTTGTATCTCATCACACACAAACCCAGGACCTTAATGCCCTCTATTCCCTCCTTTTGTGATTTTAAAAATAATTATCTCTGAACCAGGACTTAATTTGTACCTCAATCTCTTCCTGGCATCAGTTTTCAATTGCAGCGCATAGTGAGTAGTGGACCAAGTGTGAATGGTCCTTGAGCATGTGCAGAGTACATTAATCTCATGACAAAGTGAACAGTTTTCAGGTGAGAGGGTCAAGTTTCTTGACTTACCTGAATCCCTGGCATCTCTTTTTCTCAAAGGTAAACCCTGCCCCCTCCACCTCCCTGAACTGCCCCCCATGCCTGGGTTTGCTAATAAAATTGATCTTCTAATAAAAGAGAGTGAGAGAGATTCTGCAGGTAAAACTGTTTTTGCTTTCCATTAGTTACACTTAGGAAAATGAGCTGTTTTGACCTTGATTTAATGGAAAAACTTATTATGACTCTGTTTGAAAACTCTTTGAGGCTGCGTGACAGCAGCAGAAGCAGCCATGTTCGCAGAGCCAATCCCCTCCAACTCACATTCCCCAATTCCCTTGTGCCTAGTAAGACAAGGATAGTTAAGCATGTGCACACACACACACACCGCTCAAATTAAACAACAGAGACCATAACTCCCATAATATACCCCTTTCCCATTATGGCTATTTTTTAATGCTTGATGAACTTCTTGTAGTCATTTGCATGCTTGGGTAAAATGACTTTTGCCAGAAATGACTCTTTAGAAGTTTGTAGGGTCAGAATGCAAAGACCAGACCAGTGGTGCTCACAGTATTCTATTGCAGGAGGGGGTGACATTTTTTGTGATATGTGGGCTCTGATCCAAAGGGCTTGCCTGTGCATATACTGTCAGAATGGTGTACAGACATCTCACATCAACCCTTAATAGCTAATCACTGGCTGAGCCAATCACTCTATAACCTTTAGACAGAAGTGGGTGAAATTTCCAGACATAGACAACGTTAGCTAAGTGGATGAAGCCTGTCAAATTTCAAATAGGTGCAAGGTGGGATGTTCCTTCTAAATCTCTCCCCAAAACAGTGTGATTGGACGTGAAAACTGAGGGCACTGTTTGGAAGCTTAAGCTGTCAATACCAAAACTACACTCCCTCCTTTCCCTCCCTCCATCCTGATGTCTTTCTTATATGAAGAACTTGGGTGGGTGTGTATATATATCTCCGCAAGCAGGCTGTCTGTGTCCCTCCAGATCTCCAAATAGGCTCTGAAGCTTCATAAAGAACCAAATTCTGTTAGGGATTATTCAGAGAATTCCCGCTTTGTTTCAGGAAAGACCCAAGTATCCCCAAAACAACCCACTTAAGTTTGAGATTATGAAAACCAAGTGCACATCCATAATTAAGACTACACATTTCTCCTAAAATATTCAGGATAAAAAAGTTTTTTATTGTTTCCCAAGACTTCATGAGATTTGACTTAGAGAAAGCATGTTTCAGAGGTGCTGTAAGTTAAGAGGTAAAACTGAATGCTTTACTCTCCTCCAAAAAACAAAATCTTGTGCTTCAGCTTCAATGGAAATTGAAGAGCACGTTGTAAAAAAGATTTCAAAGACACATTTTGCAGGGTCAGCTTTTGTGGAAACCCACCTCCCTATTTTGACAAAGAAGTCTTGGGGATCTGTAGTCCAAAAGAGCTATCATCAACATAGCAAGCTACCTTACAGTGACTCAGGGCTTGTCCACACTTCCACTTGTCTTGTGCCCAGAAAGCACTGGTCTGGGGGTTTTTCCACTTGACCCACACTTTCTAGGAATGGTCCAAACAGTTTTCCCTTTGCCCATTCCTTTCCCAGGGAAAATCCACTCTTTAGCGCTACTTGCATTTTCCAGTGTGGACAAATGTGTAGTTTGTTCCTTAAGTATCCCATGAAGGCAAGAACGCCCATCTCTGATGCTGTGAAGATGACCCGCATATGGACATTCTCTCCTCCATAGGATGTTTTACTTCGATAAAGCGTTGTCAATCAGGAAGTGGTTTGATTGATGCTATTTGAGCAGGCATTCTTACTGACAGGTCAGCAGGGCAGGGGCTGTTTGGGGCAGGTGCTCAGTTTGCCCCTCTTCTCTTTGCAGACAGCAGCGACAGCGAGCTCGAGCTCTCGACCATCCGGCATCAGCCAGAAGGGCTGGACCAGCTCCAGGCCCTGACCAAGTTCACCAAGAAGGAGCTGCAGTCCCTCTATAGAGGCTTCAAGAACGTGAGTGGGAAGCTTCCACTGGCTTCTTGCACCCACCCAGGCATTTCCTGAACTCCAGACTTCCCCAAGCCATGGGAAATCTCAGAGCACCTTTTCAGGAGATCAGATTTTTCTATCAGGGTGGGCCACTGAAGAGTCCCAGTGTTTTTGTGCCATCTTGTTTGGATAAGTATTTTTACCCCACTCTTGGGATGAAAAGGAGCTCCTAAAGCTTCATAATCAAGACAGTCTCTGCTTACAATTTAAAAGATGTGGCACGAAAGGAAAGGGGATTAGGAGGGAGAAGGAGGGAAAGGAAGTTCAGGCACTGGTTCTTAGTTTTAAAGTTCTTAAGCGTGTTCTTTCTGGCAGGAATGGGAGTATCAAGTTCCCTATAGTAGGAGTTGCTAACCTGCACACTACAGGGGTTGTAGGACTACATCTCCCATCAGCCACCACCAGCCAGCATGGCAGGTGGTCAGCGATGATAGGAGCTATAGTTCAACAATATCTGGAAGGCTACGGGTTCCCCTGTCCCTCCAATATCCAGGCATAAGAAGAACAATCTACCCAATGGACCTAAACCAGTTAAAGATGTGATTTTCTCTCCCTGTGGAGCTGTAGTTCTGTGAGGAAAGACAGGGAGCTTTGGCAGAGACTTGGATTATTGAGCAGATCTGCCCAAGAAGCCTCGTCATTTGGCTTCAGCACGAAGTGCCTTTCAAGAAACCACCCTGTCTTCTGTTCCATGTATCTTTAATCACTGTTTCCTGTAATACTTGGCTCTCAGGCATCATCGAAATACTAAGTTAATTGTTTCTCTGCCAGCGCATATGATTCCATTTTCACTGGGATCCATCTCAGAATTGACTGATGAATCAACAGCCTTTATTTTCTAGACAGACTTTCATGTTGCAACTTTTTTAGTATTGCTTAATGGAGAAGGTTTGACGTTCCACTTCCTCTGAACTCATGACATTTGAGTTTGACTGCAAGGCCTTCTTGCACCCCAAGTAAAAAACAAAGCCCCCAGTTTCCCTTCACCTCGGCAGTCAGATCCTATAACTTAGTTGCTTGGGCAACACATAGTTAAACTATGGAACTCGCTCCCACGGTGATGGCCACCAACTTAGATGGCTTCAAAGAAGATTAGACAAAAACAAGGAGGATAAGGCTGTTAAATGGCCCAGGAATGCAATTCCTCAAGGAGATAATCTTCTGAGGTGCTTCTCCAAGAGAGGTCCAGAGGGTGGCAACACGAGAACAGGCCTTTTCTGCAGTGGCCCCCTGCTTGTGGAATGCTCTCCCCAGGGAGGTTCGCCTGGCGCCTCCATTGCACACCTTTAGGCCCCAGCCAAAAACATTCCTCTTTAACCAGGCCTTTCGCTCATTCACACCCAATGCCCTTTTAATACGGGGGGGGGGGGAGTTGTTGAGTTGTTTTTGTTTTGATTATGTGTTGTGTGTTTTTATATTGGGATTTTGAGTTGTAACCACCCTGAGACCTGTGGGTATAGGGTGGTGTGCATCATCATCATCATGTGCTACTGACCATGATGACTGTGTCCTGCCTCCACAAGAGGACACATCAATGCTTCTGAATACCAGGCGCTGGAACTCACCTGTGGGCAGAGTGCTCATGCGCTCGTGTCCTGCTCAAAGGATTCCCACCGGCATCTGGTTGGCCACTGTGCAAACAGGATGCTGGACTAGATGGGCCACTTTGGGCCTGATCCACCAGACTCGCCTTATGTTCTTAACCCCACTCAGCTTCCTGGTGTGAGTGTACATGACTTGCTGAAGACCTGGAGTCACCAGTGTGGTTCCCACAGGGTTGTTTGTTTTTTTTATGGCGCTCACAGGGACACACCCCTTGCTTGAGCCTTCTGTTGTTCACAATAGAGTAGGTAGCAATGTGTGTTTAGTTGTGGTATGTGCAGTGGGCCCTCAACAATTTATCGGGATTGCAAATGTGCCCGTGAGAGAAAAGGGTGGCAGCCCCTGCTCAAGTCTGTCTGGCCCCACCTTTCAGATGCCCACGCATTAGCAAGGTTGCCTGGAAGAAACAGGGGACTCAGCTACATAAGTAAAAAAGCAGCGATTTGAATGCGTTATAAACATGTAACACCAGATGGCGCCAGAGAGCAGGAATTTTGTTTATACGTGATTTTTCCATAGGATTTCCCCCCCCTTTTGTTATAATCCTCAAATTTCTGACTTCTTTATAGTGTTTATTCCTGTGGATAGGTTCACCCAAAGTCTATACACATGCAGCAGATAGCACATAGACTTCCACATGAGGGTGTCGTTCTGGTCACGTGGAATCCTGTACATCCTTCTTCTCCATAGATCAGGGTAGCACCCTCCAGATGTTGTTGGACTCTTAGCTCCCACCAGCCCCAGCCAGCATGCCCAATGGCTATTGTCCAGAGCAAAGGAGGGCAGCACATTACTTATCCCTGTTGTCATGGATGTGGCAAAGGGGGCAGGGGGCAGCTGCCCCCCATCAAGTAAATCAATAAAAATCCTTAACTAACTGAGGTTCTGCCCCCCATAACATGAAGCCTCCCCCCAATATAAATCCTGACTATGCCCATGCCTGCCATAGGTGGCCATGCTAATTCCCGGGGGCCTGGAGGTGGGGCTCAAGTCTGCATCAGGAGGGGCAGGCTTGCAGCCCCACTCCCCAGGAACCATGTGATGGTGACACTTTCACGCCAGGATCTTGTGTTTCCCATGAGACCTGCTAATCCTACACCCAGGACCAAACAGCACTGGGAAGTGGGTCTCCTCTGCCTTTAACAACAGTCTGGCACGCAGAAATTTAGCAGGTGGGCACTTTCCTCATCTCTCTATAAATAAGAGAGATGAGAGATTGAGAGCCAGTGTGGTGTAGTGGTTAAGAGCGGTAGTCTCGTAATCTGGGGAACCGGGTTCGCGTCTCCGCTCCTCCACTTGCAGCTGCTGGGTGACCTTGGGCCAGTCACACTTCTCTGAAGTCTCTCAGCCCCACGCACCTCACAGAGTGTTTGTTGTGGGGGAGGAAGGGAAAAGGAGAATGTTAGCCGCTTTGAGACTCCTTAAAGGGAGTGAAAGGCGGGATATCAAATCCAAACTCTTCTTCTTCTTCTTCTTCTTCTAAATGTCTACACCTGCTTGCTTGCTTGCTTTATTTCCTGCATATCAGGATGTTGCTAAAGGCACAGGAGTTGGGCCAGCAAAAATGAAAGGTGGCCAGAAGGCAAGTGGAAGTCAGGATGCCTGCAGCTCTCATTTTGGAGCTGGTTTAGGGGGAAGGACCACAGCTCAGTGGAAGAGCGTCTGCTTGGCATACAGAAGGTCCCAGGTTCAGTCCCAGCAGCATCTCCAGGTGGGATTGGGAGAGACTCCCTGTCTGAAACCCCATCACTGCTGAGAATATTGAGTTAGACCAGTCATCTGACTCGGTAAACAAGGCAGCTTCCTCCAGGAAGGGCTGCAGCTCAGTCCTTGGCATGCAGAAGGCCCCAGGCTCAGTCCCTGCCGCCTCCACGGTAGGGCTGGAAAGATGTCCTGCGTGAAACCTGCCCCTGCAGTCAGTCTGACAAAGTGTAAGGCAGCTCCCTGCCTTCTGTGTTGTGCATTCACAGCTCTTTGCAGAAACAAGAGTGAGTCACAGTGGGTGTCTTTAACTCTGTGTGTGCAAATTACGCATTACTGAGTTTGAGGACAAATCGGAGCAAAGCTTTATGTGTAGTCGTCATAAGACATATGTGGTCCCTGATGCTTCCCAAAGTCCCACATTCTTCCATTGTGTCAGTGACTGGTTCCTTTCTTCCTGTTAATCTCCTCAATTTTCCTGGCTTTAAAAAAAGCCCCGTCTTGCCTTTTCTATGGAAGAGGCAGCTTTTTATTACATTTTTTTTTTAAAAAAAACTTTTTACCTGCTTCTATGGCTTGGGGAAAGTAAGTTCCCTCCCTCAGCTTTCTGAAAACCAAGTGGGATACTTCTGCAATACTACATACGCAATAGATGTGTCTGTGTGTGGTGTACTAAAGTTAGAAACCAGTAGCTGGATTGGTCCTTCTGTAAGGACCTTCTGTATACTTATTTAAGAGCAACCCTTGCAAATTCTTTTGTTTTGTTTTTTAAATATTTATTGAATTTTATAACAATTGATGATACAAATCTCATTCATCATGTTACAGTATTTACAATTATAACCCTATCAAATCCAATCGGGTTTACTTCTGAGTAGACCTGCATAGGACTGAAAACTCTAATGTGAGGTACCCATGGGGGAAACGGAAGCAGGATTACCCTTATTCCATATTGGTTCATCCAATACCCTTTTCTCTCTCCAGCTACGCCTAGCTCTGGTTCTGCCTGCTCCTGGCATGTGGTTCCTTAAGACGAGATGGAGTCCACTCTGTGGGGCAACCTAACTTGGTTGAGGATGGTCTTGTGATTTTTGTTTTGGGTCAGATGTTGGGCCATAACAGAAAGTGAGGCGTGGGGTGGAAGTGCACATGGGACCTGAGTGAGGCTTTGCTGCTATTTGCCGAGATGGCCAGAGGGTAACTTCCTTCTGACTTGCATTGATAGGAGTGCCCCAGCGGCTTGGTGGATGAAGAGACCTTCAAACTGATCTATGCTCAGTTCTTCCCGCAGGGAGGTGAGTCTGGGACTGATGTCTTCCTTTCAGCTGCTATTTGGGTTAAGGCACTGAGCCCCCTGTGAGAGTGATGCTGCCACAAAGCTTTCCCCCAGAATGGCAGTCCATGCAAAAGCAAGAATGCCTAGCCAACTTCTAATGCTGTGCCTCTGCCAGCCTAGTGCGCTCCAGGTGTTATGGACTACAACTCCCATCAGCCTACCAGGTTGGCAAAGTCTGCTACATATACATCAAAATATGTATTGCTGCCTATATTGGCTGGTGAAGGCAGGTGAACATGGCAAGGATGTGGGTGGATTCCTATGGTAAAAATACCCAGGTACCTAAGCAGAACTTGAATAACCATCAAACCAGTTTAATTCCCCCTGAGAATTCTGGGAACTGTAGTTTTATTAGGGGGTGGCTATATGTGTGCTAGAAATTGCCAGCATACGTAGCTCCCTAACTAAGGTGGCCACTTAAGCATTGCCAAAAAAAAGCAGAAATGTATCACCAAAATAGGACACAGATTTGTATATAAAGTAACTGAGTAACTGTGATTTGATGAGGATGCACAGAATTATTTGTGAGCTCCCATTGCTCGGTCCCTGCTCCTGCCCACCTAGCAGTTCGAAATCAAGTCAAAGTGCAAGTAGATAAATAGGAACCACTCTGGCGGGAAGGTAAACGGCGTTTCCGTGCGCTGCTCTGGTTCGCCAGGAGCGGCTTAGTCATGCTGGCCACATGACCACATCTCGCCAATAAAGCGAGATGAGTGCTGCAACCCCAGAGTTGTCCACGACTGGACCTAATGGTCAGGGGTCCCTTTACCTTTACCTTTATCCCCAGCCTTCTCTCAGAACTACCATTTCAGGGTCCACGTGGATGTAATTATGCCTATACCCTTACAAAGCATGACCAAGACCAGTGAAACTTGGGTTCAAATCCTTTCTCTCTCATGCACAACTTAACCTCAGGATTATTATTTTTAAATAATATTTATTAAGTTTCCCAATTTAACAATCCAATAAAGGCAACATTAAAAACATTCCAAATTATAAAAGAATCAAACATTCCAAATATTAAGCCAAATCATATATCTTTGTTTGACTTCCCATGCTCTGAGGTTGGAGGATTGCCATCATCTCACATTTGCACTGCTTTCTTAATTAGTCCAGGTGATTCCCATAAATCAATCCGATGTTAATCCTTCGTTCATTTTCACAGCCTCTGAGTTTGTCCCAACTTAACCTCAGGATTGCTGTGATGATAAAAATGTGATTATAAAAAAAATCTCATTGATGTCATTTTGAGTCCTGAAAATAAATGCAGAACATGGATAAATGTCCTCAGCAACATGGGGACATTGCTCCAGGAACCTGTGTGGTGGCCGGGCAAATAATGTGGTTCCTTCACATGTGCTATTCCATCTTGTGCAAGAGAAAAGTGTTGCTGTGAAGCGGGTCCTTTCCTGCTGCTAAGATGTGTGAGCCAGGGAAGGGCCGTCACTTAGTGCTAGAACACATGTTTGCATGCAGAAGGGGCTGGGTTCAACCCCCAGGCTGGGCTGGGAAAGACTCCCTGCCGGAAGCCTCTGAAGACACCCCCCCCCCAGTCAGCACTGATTAGGATTGAGGAAGATCTGTGGCCCCCTGGATGTCGCTGGACTCTGGCTCCCATCAAGCCCAGCCAGCGAGCTGCTTGACTACAACTCCCATCATCCTTAACCATCATCAAGGATGATGGGAATTGGAGTCGAGCAAGTCTGGAGGGCTCCCACCATGCTGAGCTAAATGAACCAACCCGCCTGGCAGTATCCAGCACCTTCCTGTGTTCCTGCTTCGTAGGCAGAGTGAATAAGCAAGACCCCACAAGCCCCTGTAGCCCACCTGCTTCTGCTGTTCCCTCTGCAGATGCCACCATGTACGCGCATTTCCTGTTCAATGCCTTTGATGTGGACCGGAATGGAGCCATCCGCTTCGAGGTAAAGTGCTCTTCTCTCTGTTCCTTGGGTTGTGGCTCCAGGCAGTCCTTGGTGAGCCATTTGGGAGGTAAAATCGGTCGGAAGCAATGGGCCAGGTGGGGAAGGCCTCTCTTCTCGCGATCTACACACCAACAATTCTTTTGCTGAACATCACCTTGCTCAAAGAGGTTTTGGGTTGGATACAAAACCCTGCCAAACCTGTTTCCCAGAGGCGAAAGTAAGGGTGAACAGGTATACTCTTAATCTGCAGGCTGTTGCTCTATGGAAAGAACCCAAATGGGTACCATTTCTTGGGTGCCATTTCCCAGCCTTAAACATACCCCACAAGTGTTCCATTTTAAGCAGGACATCCAGAATCCCAGAAGCCAATCCCAGCTTCTGTTTGCATCCCAGAATGTCCCTTTTTCAGTCCTGCGCTTTGGTGTGAGTCCTTGCACCAGACCAAAAGAACCCTGTTGAGAGCCGGATCAGAGAGCTGGACCAGGAAGCGTATCCCTTCTGATGTCCTGATTTGGGGAATGAAAATATTGGATGGTATGCCTTCAGCTGATGCACCATATTCACCAGGACTGAAGGGGTGTGTGAAGGGGGAGGTGCAGAGCAAAGAGGCACAGGTTCAGCAGCGGGTGGCAACCATTTGGAGCAGTGGGCACATTTCGAATTTTGACAAAGGGCTGTGGGTGCAAGGCTGAAAATGGCAGCTACAGGGGCTTGGCCAGGGGTCTGCAACCTTTAAGACAAAAAGAGCCACTTGGACCTGTTTCCAAAGGGAAAAAAACCTGGGAGCCGCAAAACCATTGCGACATTTAAAACAAATATATCTCCGGAGCCGCGATCTGACAGCGGGCGGGAAGGTGATGTCGGGACGGTGCGTGACTAACACACGCACCGCCCCCATGCGACGTCACAGCCAGTACAGCGCCCGCCACAGTGGGGAGTGTCGGGGCGCACAATGCGCCTCCTCCCCTCGCTAGTATTTGCCCCGGAGCCGCGGCAAAGGTGTAAAAGAGCCACATGCGGCTCCGGAGCCGCGGGTTGCAGACCCCTGGGCTTGGCATAATGGCAAGACCAGAAAAAGAGTCAGGACCACAAAATGGTGAGAGGATGCCCCCCCCCCCGACACACCAGCTGCCCCATCAATGGGAGAATGGCACCCACATCATCTACTGCTGCACTTGCTGACAAAGAGAAGCTCGTTGCGCCTCTCCTCTGTTCAGAATGGATGAAACCTTTCACAGGTGCCATAGTGCATGCAGGCACATGGGAGCATTCTGTTGGTCTCCCCTGCTCTGGGGTCAGTATATCCCCTGCAGGCTTCCTTTGCCAGTGCCAGCTCCCAATTTTGCGGCAGAGGGGCTTGAGCAGGTAGCCCTTTAGGAGAAGGAAAACTCTGGTCCTAAACCTTCAGTGCCTTGTGGTGTCTTCAAGAGAAGAAAAGGCTAAGGAGTAAATCCTGCACAAATCCGGAGTAGGGTCCCTACGACAGTTGGGTGGCACCTTCCGGCAACTCCTGCAGCCAAGCTGGTGCCAAACATCTAGCTCTGCTTTCCTTTGGACCACATCAGCGAGGCCGGGGGTGAGGGGAGGTCTTGTCACCTGGGACCAGGACCTCCCTGCACGCTGCCCAGGCTTGAACCCCAGGGAGGTCACTTTGGTGGTGCTAATACAGCGGTTTGATGGAGGCACACTCCACTGTCTCTTGAGACAGACAGATGCCAACAGCAACAACATATAGTTAACAACTATTAGTTGTGTGCATTGCTTCCAATAGGTCTACTTCAGGTATGAATAACATTGGATGCAACACAGAATTGGAAGGTGTCAGCATAAAAACCGCTCTTGAATCTGCAATAGAAAAGCCTTAATTGGCCTTAAGGAAATTCACAGACGTAGCAAATTTCAGAGAAGCAGGGGGAGTTCTAGCGCCGTTGGGGAGGTCCTGAGACTTTGCAGATTATACACAGTACACACATTACAAAGGCACTGCATGGAAAGGCTGTAGCTCAGTTGTAGAGCATCTGTCCTGCATGCAGAAGGTCCCAGGTTCAGTCCCCAGCATCTCCAGGTAGGACTGAAACTCCCTGTCTGGATCCCTGGGGAGCCACTTGAAGGGCTTGTCCACACTTCTGTTTGTTCTGTGCTTTCTAGGCATGGGTCCGAGAGGTTTTACATTTGCCCCCCTGCTTTCCCTGGGAAACCTGCTGTTTACCACTGAATGTCATTTGGGTTTCCTGTGGATTGACGCTTCTTCTGATTCAGTGATAAAGAGCAGGTTTTCCTGGGGAAAGTGGCAGGGCATATGAAAAACCTCTTGGAGCCGTCCCTAGAAAACACTGGGCAGCTAGCTGGACCAAAGGCCTGAATCAGCATAAGGCAGCTCCCTATGCTCCTGTGTTCTTACTATTACCTCCCATTTGGCTGGAAGTGGCTGCCTGAGAGTGGAGGGAAGGTGTGCTCTTTTCATGGGAGCTGCACCATGCGATGCCCAATTGCTCTGCCCCTTCCTCTCTTGCAGGATTTTGTCATTGGCCTCTCCATCTTGTTGCGTGGGACAGTGCACGAGAAGCTCAAGTGGGCATTCAACCTTTATGACATCAACAAGGATGGCTATATCACCAAGGAGGTGAGTTGTGTGTGTGTGTGTGAGAGAGAGAGAGAGAGAGCCCTGTGCTCGTGCTCTGGCATCCTTGAGGCTACCTTTTAATATGTCTCTACTGTCCTTACTTACAACATAAACCTTGTCTGTCCCTGGTAAAGCATCCTGTGTTGTCCCATCTTTGCCTTTGGGGAGGATTTGTTAAAACTGTCCTTCTTGGTAGTATGAAGTTTTTAGCGTCCCTGTTCCTCAGGGTTTAGCTCTGGGCTCATTCAGATGACACCTATTTATTGAGCATTCATCCTGATTTGTTTGCACAGCTCTGTACTTCATCAGGTCAAGGCATTCAGATGGATACTGGGACCTTCTGCATGCAAAACACATACTCTCCTACTGCGCCACACTCCTTGCGGTTTGAAGAAAGGGGTGGTTTAAATAAGAAGCTGCCTTATCTCAAGTCAGACCACTGAGTCCGTCTAGCTCAGCAAAGTGTGCACTGCCTGGCAGGGGGTCTCGAGGGAGGAGTCTTTCCCAGCGCTACTTGGAGATGCTGGGGATTAAATCTGGGGCCTTTTGCATGCAAGTTAGATGCTCTAGCCACTGAGCTACAGCCTCTTCCTCCGGCTGGAAGTCAGGGCTGATTAAGAAGTGCAAAAATCCTCTCCATGACTCTTAAGCTTCTTGCCTTTGAGCAGAGTCAAACTAAAGAGTCCACTAAAGACAGAAAAGGAGTGGGGATAAAGCTGGCTTCACCCAGCCTCTTGACTGCTCTGAAAGCTTTGCTGTCCTTCTCTGCCAGGAGATGTTGGCAATAATGAAGTCCATCTATGACATGATGGGCCGCTACACCTACCCAATCTTGCGGGAAGATGCTCCCATTGAACACGTGGAGAAGTTCTTCCAGGTAAGGGGACTGGGGGTGTGGGGCAGCAGGTAATTCCTTGATTAGCCAAGAAAGCAGCTGGGAGGCACTGAAAAGGAGCAGGCAAGGTGAAATCAGGGGGCAACAGAAGTTACAGGTGCCTGAAGCTGTTGTGTAGACACAAAAGTCCATGGCAGGATGGTGCAATTCTCTGCAAGCACCTGCTGTGTGTTTTCCTTCCAGGTGTATCTGGACCACGACTCCCATCATCCTTGGCCATGGCCCATGTTGGCCAAGACTGAGGGGCACTGGACTGTCTCACCCCAGATATTCCTGCCTGACGACTGCAGTCCTCAGCTAGGGTATTGCATGCCCCAGAGCTGCACTTACTGTGCATCCCAGAGACTGAGGGCAGTATCTGACTAACGTGTCCTGTCAGCACAAGGGTTTCTGCGTGCTCAAGGAAGCATCCCTGCCACACACCTTTAGATGTGCTCTGGAGGGTTGGGGAACTCCTAGGGCAGATTTAAAGAGAGGAGAGGAAGGAAAGTTCAGTTGCACAAGCAGAAATCCTAGCAGTGACAGGCGGCCTTAATTGGATACCGCCCTGAGGGTTGCACCCAGTGCTCCCCCCCCAGGGGGTACTTAAGGGTATGCAGTACCAACACCTCTTTTTTTAGTTTAAAAGTGTGACACTTGTAACAACTTCATGGTGAGCACAGACACCTATTTTTCTAGAAAAAGGGCACTGGTTTCATCCAGCCGTGTCATCTCATCCACCCAAGGACTTCCTTTTGTGCAATGGAGCTTGCCCTCCTTTCCCTCCCCTACATGCCCCCCAATCTGTTTGGGGGTTCCCACAACCCTCTGGGACAGACTGAGGGACAGGTGAGTGGAGGGAAGAAAGAGTTCATCGCGCAAGCAGGTTTCCTTGCACAACCCCCAGGTTTTTAGTGTTGCAGCTCCAGCCTTCTGGAAATCAGTGCCCAGCTAAAATTAGCCAAGCACCAAGCCTCCTGACATTGGCCGAAGATGGTTTTTGTTTAAGAAGGCTTTCACCTGTCATCTTTTATGGAATAATAAACATACAGTTTTCGAAATGGTTTTATTGCTTTTGTTTTACTGAGTTTGTAATCTTTTGCATTTTATCTTGTTTTGCTGTACATTCCTTTGGTAGTAACTTTTTGTGGTTTATAAATCTGCAGATAAATAAATAAATAACTGGTGGAGGCCCCAGGTTCTTACTTAAGGACTTCGTAAGTCTCTGCTTCGTGTTTATGAAGCAAGCATTCTGGTGAAACAAAACTGGCCTCAGCTGGGGGTGGGGGTTGCCGTTTACTGAGGCTGTTACGTTATGGAAGTTTGAGTGCTGTCCATCAGAGCACATTGGGACTTAACAGCAGATGCTGATTCAGACTGCCAATGGAAGCAGAGGCAGAAGCTGCAGGAAAGGGGACCTCTCAATAGACTGTCCAGTGGGGCACTGCAGGCATCTCAGGCAGGCTTGCACACCCTGGGGGAGGAGAAGGGTGGGGCAATGCATTTATAGGGTCTGGACTCTGCATATCTGGGTCAGGCATCTGTTACTCACACAGCGCATTTTGCATTTCAGAAAATGGACAAAAATCAGGATGGCGTGGTCACTATGGAGGAGTTCCTAGAGACTTGTCAGAAGGTGAGCTCAAGAACAGCCCCACAGAATCCTGCAGCAAGAGACCAACAGCCTGGTCTCTTTTTCAAAGGAGTGGGGGCGGTGTGCTTTTTTTATTTAAAAGGTTTAAAGCTTTTCTGTTTAAGGGGTCCAATAAATACCCACTTTCAAGCTGAGTATGAAAATCTGAAATCATTGGGAACACTTTTTTAAAAAATATTTTTTTTAATTTGGAGGTGTTGGCAATTCAAAACTGATTCAAAATGACAGTGGAAATGTAGCAGTTGTGCTGGTTTGTATAGTTGGCATGGACACCATCCAGTAGGCACTGCCCATGGCTCATGCATGCCCACCAGAGGAAATTCAGCCATCATGCTTGTTGAGGAAATAATCGCTGGATTCCACTATAACTCCATGATCTTCCATTATCACAGTGTTTCCAGAATGTCAGAGAGCTGGCACATTTATTGCAGAATTAAGATAAGGCTTGCCCACTGCATGAGTCACTGATCTGGATTTGCCTCCTGGTTTGTGGATATAAGCACAGATCAGTGACTTAAGCAGAGATGTAGCAAGCAGCCTCCTCTGATTTCTGCTGCCTCTTTGCATTGAAAATTATTGAGCCATCTAGTCAGACCTGTTGCAGAGACAAGCAGAAGTACCCATCCCCATCAGAGGCTGATTGAAGATGCTAAGGCCACAGCAATGAATCTTGCAGGGTGGCACTGGGCACCCTCCTCTGTGTAGATGAGTGCTTTGGGCTTCCTTACCAGAATCTTTAATGATTTTTTCTAACTGCATGAAGTTTGGGAATTCCTCTAAGCCTAAAGATGATGAACTTCATTAACATTTTTCATCCCAGCCTCATTTCTGAGCAGAGTGCTGCTATTGTGCTTGTTCCCAGCTGGCCGGCTCCCCATGGGGACATCTGGTCAGCGCCTGTGAGAGCAGGAAGCTCAATGGATGGGCTGCTGGCCTGACCCAGCAGGTGCTTTTCTTAGGCTCCTAGTCAGTCACTCAGACCTCCTCTCTCTCTGTCTCCCTGCATCAGGATGAGAACATCATGACCTCCATGCAGCTGTTTGAGAATGTCATCTAGGGCGCCACCGCCAGGGATCCCGCCACGTCTCTCCTGCCCCACCTGCCTCCTTGGCCTGCACTTGGACAGACCTGTCCATCTTTCTTGTGAAGCACACACGTCTTTCCGAGGAAACAAAGAAAACAACCAAAAAACTCTTTTTATATTTCAGGGCGGGGGGGGGGGATAAAAGACAAAAAGGGAAAAAGATGCTGTTTGCTTGCAAGATTTGCTGGATGCTCACAACTGAATGTCTAGGAGCCGAGGGATTGCCGGGGGCGGGGGGCGGGGCGGGTGTGTGTGTGTGACTGGGCTCTTACAGGAATCTCTGGTACAGCAGGGAATTGCTCCGAGAGAAGAGATGCCTCATCGACCCAGGGAAAGATATTTTTCTAGCAGCATATTAGAGAAGGATTCTGCTTTTCTGAGAGTGAATGGCAGCACTTCTCCTCCCCCAAATTTATTAAGCTCCATTTCTCAAACACCAAATCCTTCAGTACTTGAATAGGGCCGTTTTCCCCTTCAGAGTTGTGCTCTTGCACAGCTGCTGCTCATTTCAGCCAGCCTTGAATAGGGAACTACCGTTTTGCACACACCCGCCATCCCTCATGGGGGGCCATCTCTGCCCCCCCACCCCCCAGCTGGGCCCTCCTGCTCCATGTTCTGCATTTCACATCCTCCCCCCACTCTCCCTTCAGCTGAAGTGAGAGGAACAGGAGAAGGATGCACAAGTCGCTTTGGAAACCCTGACTCCTGACTGACTGTGGCCTGCAGTGGCTGTTGGGAGGTGTGCAAGAGCAGCAGCAGCAGAGCTCTCTGGATGTGCGCTAGCTCTGCAGAGTTGCACCACTGCAGGCAAGTCCTTAGGATCCTGATCTCAGTTAGCCAGTGCTTGGTTGACATATTCTCATGGAAAGCAGGAGGATGGTATAGACTTTAAAGTCCTTGGCCTTGTTATGGCCCACATGCCTCTTCTGCTGCATATACACACACAACCTTTAAAGCAAATTCGAAGCATATTCTTTCCCTCAAAGAATTCTGGGCACTGTAGTTTGCTGTTCCCAGAGTTACAATTCCCAGCAACTCTTGACAACAGTGCCCAGAATTCTTTGAGGGAATGTCCTTCAAATGTGCTTTAAAGGCTTTAAAGGGTATACACAGCATATGCAAGTGGTCCCACCAGAAATGTTTTCCACATTGGTCTGCTCCATAGCTCCTGGGCATTTGCAGAGGGCTCTTGGATGCATTCTAGGGCATAGACACAATTTTTGCAGGTGGTTGGGATACATTTTACAGGTCATGTAAAATGCATCCTGGAAGGTGTCCCAGAATGTTGAGCAAGCTGCCATTCAGAGAATCCTGACTGCCCTTTCCTGACCTTCCTCTCCCTTAATGAGGAAGTCCAGGGATTGCAGAAATTTGAAAAGCAGAGATGAGTTTAACCCCCCCCTTTCCATTCTTGTTCCACATCTCTGCCTGCCTCTTGGTTTAATTTAGGGATTCTACCATTACTTTTCACTTTGTACCCTTCTCTTACAAGTTACTGATTTACACCAGCACATATTTGCACTGATCAAATCACAGTGCAAAACAAAAGGAAAGTGAGTCCTGATGTGATCACATTACAATTCCATTTTGTGGTGCAATTTAATCAAAACACTGATGTCCATTAGTAATTTGTATAGGAAAGGAAAATACCTGAACTGGAACTTGCAGCAAACTCTGGCTTTGCAGGAGTCTGTACAAAGCTCAGGAATCAAAAATTCAGAATGACTGATTGCTTATTCCAGAAACCAGATCAGGGAACCTGGGATGTCAAAACCCAGAGGGGGAGATTTCGTGAGCGTCCCTAAAAAAACACCATCCGTGCCATAAACCCAAAATGTGACCAGACTCAGCACTTCAAAAAGGACTTGGCCCTACACATTGCAATGTCCATTTCATATTTCTCTCCTTGTTCTCTCCAGACGCAGATGGCTACAGTATTGCTCCCCCTGTCACACATAGAATCGTAGAGATGGAAGGGACCTTGAGGGTCATCTAGTCCAACCCCCTGCAATGCAGGAATCTCAGCTAAAGCATCCATGGCAGATGGCCATCCAGGCTCTGCTTCAAAACCTCCAATGAAGGAGAGCCAATACACAATCTCTCTGCTCTGATTGTCTTGGGCAAGACAGGGTCTCCCATTGCCAACCAGGCTACAAAGTGTGGTTCCCTTGTCCTCTCCCACCCACACCCCAGATCCCTCTCAGGATGTTGTGAGTTGGTACTCAATGCTTCCTGACATATGTACAGTATAAGGAATGGCCGCATGTCCCACTAGCCTTTCATTCCAGCATCTCCTAAACCTCCTTTCACAGCACAATATGGGGAGACAGTCGCTGGTTCTTGTTCTCTGTAACTACTTGATATTCAGTCACTGTATATTTTAATAAAATAAGCATCAAAAAAGACCAAGGAGTTTCAGCCCATCGTATTTCTCTAGGGTTGCTGAGATGCCCTTACGTTTTGTTCCAGTAAACCAGTGTCACCCAATGTGATGCCATCCAGATGTTCTTGAACTGCACCTCCTGCCATCCCTGATCATTGGCCATCCTGGCTGGAGATGATGGGAGTTGGAGTGCAACATCTGGAGGACCACAAAGAAGCCACTGAATGGGTGAGGATTAAACAGCTTCTGAGTGATGGAAGTATGTGTGTGTGTAAGCAGTTGAGGAAGAAATGTCCAGGTGCTCTTGGAGTGATAGTTGAGAAGGACCAAAGCTCAATAGTATATCATCTGCCTTGTATGCAGAAGACTGCAGGTTCAGTCCCTGGCATTTCCTGGGAATGTTCCCTCTGAAACCCTGGAGAGCTGCTGCCAGTCCGTGTAGACAGTACTGAGCTGGATGGACCAATGGTCTGATTCCCAACTTGGGCAAAGAAAATGCCGCAAGGACATTATGGCTGAGATAGCAGAGTTGCACTTTTTGGCTCATTTGGTTATAGCAGTTCAGGAGAGCTGGGCATGTTTAATCCTGATTTCGGTGAAACAAAGCGCTAAACTCTTGGGCATGTTTACTCACAAGTGAATCCCACTGAGCTTACTCCTAAGCAAGTATTGTACTATAACACTTACTCATTTGGGGTTCAGGCGTAGGCCTCGTAACAGCATGGGATTGAAGTCATAAATGAACGTAACTGCACCCGGTTGGGGCCATTGCACACTCTAGCAATCGTCCATTTTACTTTAATTTTTAAATTAAACATTAAACCTGGTGAAGCAGCTGGATTCTTAGGGACCAAGAAACCTGCAGACGGGACCTGAGCACAAGAGCACTCATTCTCCACCTGTGGTTTCCAGCAACTGGTATTCAGAAGCATGGCTGCCTCCATCTGCGGAGGCAGAGCAGAGCCATCCTGCCTATCAACCCATCAATAGCCTTCTCCTCCATGACTTTATCCAGTCTTCTTTTTAAAGTCATCCAGATTGGTGGCCACCACTGATGCCTACTTCCTTCATTGGAGGTTCTAGTGTTATGAGAGAGGGAGGTAAACTTTTCTCTGCTTTCTCCATGCCATGAATCATTTTATGAACTTCTGCCATGTCACCTCTTTCTTGCCTTTTCTCCGTATTAAAAAGTCGCTGCAACCTTTCTTCATGGCTAGAATGACTCTTGTCCTGCAAGTACTTTCTGTACTATGGAGAAACTAATATTACTGTACTGTCCCCATTGATGGAGATGGCCCAAGTAGGCCACCTGACCGCCCTTGCCGTGCTTATATTGTGATTTGGGCATTGTTATTATCTCCATATTGGGGGGGGGGCAGTAAGCGCATGAGGGCACCATGTCTCAGGAAGACGCTCCCACCCCTGCTGCAGGGTGGCCCATGGTTAACATCCCCAAACAACTCATCGGAATGGTGTGCACTGTGAGAGTTGGGTGGGGCTTAGGGTTGCCACCTGTCCTGTATAACACAGGATTGTCTCATATTTCTTTTTTTTATTTTAAATAAATTTTTATTAATTTTCCAAACACAATAAACAAAACAAAAACATACAAACATTTAAACATGTATAATTTCATAATCTTATTTTCATGCACCTTACTTCCCGGACTTCCCCATACCTCCCCTTTTCTGCATCCTTGTTTTACATTTCTTCAGCAACTCCTCCAATTAACTATTTATTTTAGTTCACTTTCATTAGATTCCTTTTTTTTTAACTTATTGATTACAGCTGCAATTCTCTATTTCTTAGTTCCTTAACATCTTAACACTCCTCAATTTTACAGCAATTTTTAAGATATATTTTAAATTTCTTCCAATCTTCTTCCACTGTCTCTTTCCCCTGGTCACGGATTCTGCCGATCATCTCTGCCAGTCCCATATAGTCAATCACCTTCGTCTGCCATTCTTCCAGAGTGGGTAGTTCTTGTGTCTTCCAATACTTTGCCAGAAGAATTCTTGCTGCTGTAGTAGCATACATGAAAAACGTCCTATCCTTCCTTGACACCAATTGGCCAACCATGCCCAGGAGAAAAGCCTCAGGTTTCTTAGGAAAAGTCCATTTAAGGACTTTCTTAATTTCATTATAGATCATTTCCCAAAAGGCTTTAATCTTCGGGCAGGTCCACCAAAGGTGATAAAAGGTACCTTCAGTCTCATTACATTTCCAGCATTTGTTATTGGGCGAATGGTAAATTTTTGCAAGCTTGACTGGGGTCATGTACCACCTGTAGGTCATTTTCATTATGTTTTCTCTTAAGGCATTACATGCTGTAAACTTAACACCGGTGGTCCATAACTGCTCCCAGTCAGCAAACATAATGTCATGACCAATATCTTGCGCCCATTTAATCATAGCTGATTTCACCGTTTCATCCTGTGTATTCCATTTCAACAGCAAATTATACATTCTTGACAAGTTCTTAGTATTGGGTTCTAACAGTTCTGTTTCTAATTTTGACCTCTCCATCTGGAAGCCTATTTTCCTGTCCTGTTTATATACCTCGTTTATCTGAAGGTAATGCAGCCAGTCTCGTACTTTGGACTTTAATTTCTCATAACTCTGTAATTTAACTTTTTCACCATCTAGTTCTAAAAATTCACAATATTTTGGCCATTTAGACTCCATATTAAGTTTTTTCACCTCTTTGGCTTCCATTGGTGACAACCACCTGGGAGTTTTACTTTCCAATAAATCTTTATACCGCATCCAAACATTGTATAATGCTTTCCTAACAATATGGTTTTTGAAACCTTTATGCAATTTTACCTTGTCATACCATATATATGCATGCCAGCCAAATCTATTATCAAACCCTTCCAGATCCAAAATGTCTGTGTTCTCAAGAAGCAGCCAATGTTTCAACCAGCAGAAAGCTGCCGATTCATAGTAGAGTCTTAAGTCCGGCAGGGCAAACCCCCCTCTATCTTTTGCATCAGTTAAAATCTTAAATTTTATTCTGGGCTTTTTGCCCTGCCAGACAAATTTAGATATGTCTTTCTGCCACTTCTTGAAACAGTCCATATTGTCCACGATCTGCAACGTCTGGAATAAAAACAACATTCTAGGCAATACATTCATCTTGATGACAGCAATTCGGCCTAACAAGGAAAGTCTCAACCTTGACCATATTTCTAGATCTTTCTTTACTTCTGTCCAGCATTTATCATAATTGTCCTTAAATAAGTTCACATTCTTAGATGTTAAATTTACCCCCAGGTATTTCACTTTTTTTGTTATCACTAAACCTGTTTCACTCTGAAACTTCTCTTTTTCAACAATTGTTAGATTTTTCTCCAACACTTTCGTTTTCTGTTTGTTCAATTTAAATCCTGCTACTTGACCAAATATCTCAATTAGTTCTAATACTCTTTTAGTACTAGTATCTGGCTGTTGCAAGGTCAATACTAAATCATCTGCAAATGCCCTTAATTTGTAATGTCTGAATCCGACCTGAACTCCTTTAACCAACTGGTCCCCTCTGATCCTGTTTAACAAAACCTCCAAGACTGATATAAAAAGTAAAGGGGATATTGGGCATCCCTGTCGTGTACCTTTTTCTATAGGTATTTCTTCCGTAACCACATTATTTACAATTAACTTTGCTTTTTGTTCAGAGTATATTGCACCTATACCGTTTTCAAAACCTTGGCCTACCCCCATCCCTTGGAGATTCTTCTTCATAAAGCTCCAACAGATATTATCAAAGGATTGTCTCATATTTCAAAGTAAAATGCTATGTCCTGTATTGTAGTTTGTCCTGTATTCCCCATATTTCTGCTATGCTGCTGCTGCTGCTGCTGCTCTCTCTCCTCTCCAAATGTCCCCCTCTACTCCTACATGGAAGACATTGCTGGCTTGGTTGGAGAAACCGCCTTTTGCTTTTGCTTTTCCCTCCTGACTCCCTCTCCTCACCTCGCCCCCAAGGAGGATCCAAAAAGGGCAAGGCTTTCATGCTGCTGCTTCCAGTTTCCTGCAGCTTGGGCTGGGTCAGGGGTCTGCAACCCGCGGCTCCGGAGCCGCATGTGGCTCTTTTACACCTTTGCCGCGGCTCCGGGGCGGATACTAGCGAGGGGAGGAGGCGCACTGTGCGCCCCGGCACTCCCCACTGTGGCGGGCGCTGTACTGGCTGTGACGTCGCATGGGGGCGGTGCATGCGTTAGTCACACACCGTCCCGACGTCACCTTCCCGCCCGCCCGTCCGCCCTCTACATTGAAAGGGGGCATGTACGCTGGTCACTGTTTTGAAGGGGAGTGAAGAACACACACACAAAAAATGGTAACTTGTTAATTTAATGTATATTTCTATGAGGAGGACTAATTCTGAGGGGTCAAACAAAGAAATAATAAAAAAGTGACAAAAAAGTTATTTTTATAATGACGAGTTTTGCGGCTCCCAGTTTTTTTTCCCTTCAGAAACGGGTCCAAGTGGCTCTTTTTGTCTTAAAGGTTGCCAGTGGCGTAGCGTGGGGGGTGCAGGGGGGGCCCGGCCGCACCGGGCGCAACATCTGGGGTTAGGGCAAATCCACAGGTTAGGGGGCGCAAATCCACGGGTTAGGGGGCGCAAATGCACGGGTTAGGGTGCGCAAATTACTTGCCTTGCCCCGGGTGCTGACAACCCACGCTACGCCACTGAAGGTTGCAGACCCCTGGGCTGGGTGAAGGCGGCCATCCGCAGAGCTGCCCCCTGGGAGCGCTGGGCCCCGTCGCTCAGAGAGGAGCAGGCTCTGGGTCTCTAGAACAAGCAGTTTTGTGCAGGTGTAGCCCAGAAACCCCCGTTCCGAACATTGTTATCCGCATGACATGGGGGGGGGGGAGAGTAGCTCCCCACAAGGTTTCCCCCATCCCCCACACCTCCGCCCCATCTCTTTTCCCTTTTTTTCAGAAATCTAACATGTGGAACAAAGCTCACCCGTTCATTAGATAGAAGATGCCTCCCGCTGTTTGTTTATTTTGCTCTGGCTGTGCAAGGTCAGGGGGGCTGGGCTGCTGTTTGGGTTTGTTTTTGTTTCGCTGCAGGGGGTGTTGCTTTTTTTTTTTTGTATCTTTTGGATGTTGTGATTTATGTGGAAATTATTCAGTTTGGTTGCGCATATTTTGATGTTTTATTTATTGCTAATGACTACTTTCGTTATGCCGAAATTATGCATTTTTTCATGTTGTGAGCCGCCTTGAGCATGGGTTTGACCTGCGGAAAGGCGGCAGACAAATAAAAGTATGCACATATGCATGCATGTGCGGGTTCACAGTAACATTGCGTCATGCTACCCTCCGCGTCAGAGCGTGGCATGGGCTGGCCGCGGCTTCTCAATAAACCTGCCTCAGCAAAAAATAACCGCTTAAAGCGCCATTGGGCGCTTCCCCGCCCCGCCTACTTTGCCCCCCCCCCGCTTATCTGCGAGAGCGAGATGCATGCTGGGAGTTGCAGTTTATGTGGAAGGACGCCTGTGGCGCATGCGCCGACCAGGAAACCCTGGCAAGAGGTCGCTGCGCGCAGCTGGACAGGTGAGGGTCTGCAGTTGCTGCAGCGGCCAAGGGGGCTCCGCGGCGGGGGCGGCCGCGCCCTGGACGGCAAAGGGGCCAGAAGCCTTTTGTCCCGGGCGGGGCTCCTCGTCCGCAGGCGGGGGTTTCGGGACCTCCAGTCCGGCCGCCCCTCGCGCAGCGCCCGCCTGGGTTGCCGCCGCTTCGCCTGCGGAGCCAGATCGGGGGAAGCAGCAGCAGCGAGCGAGCGGGGCTGCGGGGAACGCCGCAACTCAGCCAGCGCGCAAGATGGACCCTTTCATGCAGCCGTGACGCGTGTTTCGCGGAAGAAAACTCGCGTCAGGAAGGCTCGGCGTCCCTCCGCGGCCGCGCACTCTCGGCTTTTCATACCTCTACGGCCACGCGCTGCCCCCTGGGAGCTGTAGTCCCACGCCTGACCGCCCCCTCCCCCTCCTCTTGGGGGGTCTCCGGGGGGAGGCAGCAGAGGCACCGCCCCCCCCCTCGCGGCTGCTCTCCCCCTCAGCCCCAGACAGGGAATTTGCTTGTTTTCTTGCCTTTCCTCCGAGGAGTTCTCTCCCTTGCTTGATCCTCACAGCAGCCCTGCGGAGTAGGTCGGGTTAGACCAGGGGTCAGCAACCTTTTCCAGCAGGGGGCCGGTCCACCGTCCCTCAGACCTTGTGGGGGGCCAGGCTATATTTTGGAAGGGAAAAAATGAACGAATTCCTATGCCTCACAAATAGCCCAGAGATGCATTTTAAATAAAAGCACACATTCTACTCATGTAAAAATACACTGATTCCCAGACCATCCGCAGGCCAAATTGAGAAGGCGATTGGGCCAGATCCAGCCCCCCGGGCCTTAGGTTGCCTCCCCCTGGATTGGGCCAAGAGGGAGCAAGTGGCCAGCTGGCCCAAGGTCACCTGGTGAACTTCATGGCTGAATGGAGATTGACCCATAGAATCAGAATGGTAGAGTTGGGAGACACCCTGAGGGACATCTAGTCCAGCCCCCTTTAGTGCAGGTCTCTGTCCCAAGGCTCCTAGTCATGGCTCCACAGTGGCTCTCGGATATGGTTTTGGCCACCAGCCTCTGTGTTGTGGGCTCAGCTCCAGATTGCTGCCATTCCAGATGGATGCGCTGTTCCAGCAACATCGGGGGGGGGGGGACAGGTTGGTGAAGACTCCTAGATCTGCGAGTAGCCCCATATTCTTCCCTTCTGAAAATCTGCCTGCTCTCTTGGAGCCCAGCACTCTTTGCTGCTGTCCCTGCTTCTGCGCCCTTAGCAGCAGGTTACCCCAATGGGGGAAGGCCCCACTCCACCCCCCATCACTTAATCTCCATGCTAGGAAAAGCACCACTTGCCCATTTCTGCATTGCAGAAATGCTCAGGAAGGCAGAGCAGCAGTGGAGGGGACGGGGAGAAGGTTCTGGTATAAGGATTTGCTTCCTCTGTGGGTTTCAGGCTATCTGTGCCAAGACCAATCTTCTCCTTGAGTAAAAGAGAGAGATGAGGTTTGGCAAAGGGGGGGGGGGGTCTGCCACTCCCAACTCTTCAATTATTGCTGCCTTTTTGCAGCTGGAAGATTTTGGCCTCATCCATGCTGTCATTTCATGTGCATAGTGAACTTCCTGTACTCTGTTGTCCATACAACATTCTTTTTTATATTTAGTTTTTTATTGGTTTTATAGACTTAACATAAAATCCAATTTATACACTTCTCTTAACAATTCAACTTCCCATTCTTACATTCATTATTCCCACTCCCCACAAACAATTACTTGCTGCCTTATACTCAATACTTATTACTATACATTTCTTTATCTACTTTTTTTCTTACTATCCTTCCATTGCTTATACTTCAAGACCTGCTCATGATTACATTTGGCTAGAGTATTTCTCCCCTGAAAGGAATTTCCATTCTTTCATATACTTTTCTTCATTTTGGTCTTTTATTTTCACCATCAATCTTGCCATCTCCACATAGCCTATTAACTTCAAAACCCATTCCTCTTTTATTGGAACCTTGCCTTCTTTCCATTTCTGTGCATACAGAACTCTGTCTGCTGTGGTTGCAAATATAAACAAATTAACCATCTTTTTAAGGACTTCTTATCCTGTTATTCTTAATAAGACTGCTTCAGGCATCTTGGGAATAGTGATTTTAAAAATCTTTTTTAATTCATTATGTTTCATTTTCCAGAAGCCTGTTGCTTTTTTAACAAGTCCATTACATATGGAGAAAAGTCCCTTCTGCCTGCTGGCACTTCCAACATTTGTTCAACACAGTCTTGTACATCTTGGCTAACTTAGTGTTATGTACCACCTGTATATCATTTTCATTCATTTTCATTTAATGTATAACATGCTATGAATTTCATATCTACTTTCCCTACTTTTTCCCATGCTGCTGTATCAATATTATGACCCAAGTCCTTAGCCCGTTGCATCATTGTTGACTTAACCAGCTTATATTTTGTTTCCCATTCTAACAAGAGCTTGTACATTTTTGAAATCAATTTTTTTTGCCTTCTTTGTTTTGCAAAATCAGGTTTCATATCTTTCTTAAATAGTTCATTTAGCTGATGGTACTGAAACCACCCAATTACCCACTCCTGGAATTATTCTTGTTTTTTCAGTTTGCCAACCCCCCACGAGAGAATTTTAATACATCCCATAAGTATCCCATCCTGCTCTCATATTTAATTCCTGTTGGGCACTTGCCTCCAATGGAGATAACCACCATGGTGTTTTCCTTTCTAAAATATCTCTATATTGGGTCCAAACACGATATAGGCTTCTTATAACATGATTTTAAAATTCTTTTCATACCATAAGTGGGTGTGCCACCCATAACCTTCTGAATCCAACTGTCTAGTATTATTCATTGTTAGCCATTCCTCCAACCAGGTTAAACATGAAGCTTCATAATACAATTTCAAATCCGACATTGAGAATCCACCTCTTTCCCTTGCATCTATTAATATTTTATATTTAATTCTTGTTTTTTCCCCTTGCCAGATAGAGAGTTCTTTTTGCCATTGTTTAAGACAATTCATTTTATGTATTACTGGGATGGTCTGAAAAAGAAAACTCAAGCAATGCATTCATTTTTATGGCAGAATTTCTTCCCAAAACTCTATTCTTACCCATCTACACAAGTCAAATTTCATGCTGTTCCACACTTTAATGTAGTTATTTTCATACAACATTGCATTTTTATTTGTTATCCAAATACCTTTCTACCTTTAAGCCACTCTTTGCTTGTAATATTTTATTTCTTTATCTATATTTTTAACCAACATTTTTCTTTTATCCTTATTTATATAAAATCCTGCAAGATCACCATACTGCTTTATCATTTTTAATATCTTCATTACATTTTCCACATTACATTTTAATACCTTCATTACATTTGTCCAGAAAAAGAACTACATCACCTGCAAATGCAAATTTATAAATTTGTTGCCCTAATTGGACATCCTGTACCTCTGTACTTTCTCTTATCTTTCTGCATAATACTTCTAATATCAAAAGAAACATACAACATTCTCCTCCGAATCACGGTCTTCCCACACTTTCCCCTCCCTCCCTCGGTCTCGATTTTCTCACCAGAGTTTTCCTTCTCCTGGATGAGCTTAGGCTGTGGATCCCTGAGGTGAAGCTTCTGCTCTTGTACTTCCAGCCATTCTTTGCATAGAGGCACCTTCATAATATGGGGCAGGGCTCCATCCGACCCCTGCCATGCCCCACCTCCTCCTCCTGCATTTTCTTGCCAGGTCCTTGTACATCATTTCTAGCCATTGATCTTTGAGTGAAATCTTTCCCTTGTCCGACTTTGGCGCCACCCAGGCTCCTTTGCCTCAGTTCCGTGGGAACTGCCACTGTTGAAAAGTATTTGTATTCAAGGTATTTGAAGAAGAATATTCAGCAGGACTCAACAGATCTCTCACTGCCTCTCAAATGCGGTGCTGTGCCTCCTGAGCAGCTCCCTTCCCCACAAAGGGGAATTGCATTGCAGTATTTCCGAGTGGCTGCTCTTCCTCTTCCGGCAGCTCCTCCCAACTGTGCCCCTTGGGCTGCTTTCTCTTGAGTCTGCTTTCTCCACCCCCCCTGCAGGTGTGGATGCTGTGCCAGCTGCAAATACCCCTCCTGGTGGGTCTCAAGCCAAGCTGGAAGAAGTTAGGGTCCAGGTGTGTGTCCCACCTGAGCGGGGCCATGAGGCTGGTCCAGTTCCATCCTAAGGAGTCTGCGGCAGAGCCCCGGATTGGGCTGGAGGAGAAGGATGGAGGGGACGTGGTGGACCTGAACGCCTTTGACCCCTCTCTGCCCAGCAACATGCGCGCCTTCTTGGAAGGAGGAGATGCAGCCCTCGCTGTTGCTAAAAGGTACCTGGAGGTCTTCAGGGTCATAAAAGGACCTGCTGACTGGTGGAGGGAGGAAGTCAAGAGGAGCAAGATCTGGCTCATTGGAGCTTTGGGGTGGGGCAAAGTGTGGTGGAGGAGGAGGTGGAGAGCTGTCAGAATAAGGAATGGGACAGGGCCAAGCAGGGTGGTTTTGTGAAGGGTTCACTGAAGCCTCCACACCAGCATCGGAGACCCTCAGGCCCAGGCAACGCCCTCGGTGCCCTTGCTTCACACCCTCGGGGAGTGTTTTTGCCTGCCTAGAAGGTGCCTTTGTCTTGAAACGAACTGTGCTTGCCTGGGTGCAGGGTTGAGAGGCATGTGTGAGTGCATGCAGAAACTGGCTTAATGTACAAAGGTTACATTTTTATTCATTGCTGCACCCACTTTTGCCGCTGGCTGGCCCCATCTGCGACTGGCAGGTGGCTCCCCAAGGTTGTTGAGAAGGGAATGTGGTCCTGAGGCAGAAAAAGGCCCCCACCCCTGCTGTAAAAACAAGGCCCATGCCCAGGGTCTTAGGAGTAGTATCCAGCGTCTGGGTTGCTGTATCTACCTGAGGCAAAGAACAAGATGGTGCCTCCACCTTTCCTGCCTCGAAGCTGACTGGGCTGGTGCCTCCTGTTATAATCCTGGCAACAGGGCAGTGTGTCCTGTACCATACCTGAGGAAGTAGGCTAGCTATGGGGTGCAGGCAGGCTGCATGGCACACACAGCTCTGATCTTTAACTTTGGGGTTGCCAGCATGGGCGCATTGGCACCCTTGAGGTCTTCTCCTGGCACCCACAAAGCCTCTGATTCTCTCCCCTCCCCCTTGGTTGTGAGGTGGTGTTTATATTTTCCTCCCTTTGGTATGTAGAGCTGAAGGAAGAGCAACATTTTCCCACTTCTGCTTTCAGCTCTATGTGCTTTTCAAGGCTCAGATTAAATCTGTTGGATCCAGCTTTTACCCAGATCCCTTGGGAAAGCAAAGCAGGGGCACACACACTTTCTCAGAAAAGTGTGCACTGATCCGGGGCAAGGGTGGTGGGGATGGAACAGAGAGGGTGGTATCCATAGCTTTTACTTAGAAATCCAAATCGGCTCACAGGCATAAAAAGGTTGGCAAGCCATCTAACAGGAGGTTACAGCCAGGGGGTTGAGGAGGAATAACTAGCAGGGCTGTCGGCCACCCGGCCATCTCCTCACTCTGCCTAACGGTAGGGGTGGCTAGTCTGTGAAAAAGGCTTGCCAGGCTTTGGAAAAAACAAAGGAGATTTCAAAACCTTTCAATGCTGAAGCTACAGCAAGCTCTCGCTCTCTGCCACCTTGCCTGACACTGTCTGGGGTCCCCACTTGAGATGCCTCTGTCTCCATCTTCTGCCCACAGAGCGCAGGTGTCTGCCCAGCATGTCCTTCCCCGATCCAAGGTGACCCTATTGGCTCCTGTCACAAACCCAGACAAGGTGATCTGTGTTGGGATGAACTATGTGGATCATTGCCTGGAGCAGAATGTCAAGATCCCCAAGGAGCCCATAATCTTCAGCAAGTTCAGCAGCTCCATCGTGGGTCCCTACGACAACATCATCCACCCAGCAGAGAGCGAAGTAAATGGGGCTGGGTTTTCCAAGACTATCTGGGGACCCAAGGTTGAAGAATACTGCAGTGACCCTTCCTTAGCCTAGAATGGGTTAAGAACATAAGAGCCTGCTGCATCAGGCCAAAGGGGACTCATCTAGTCCATCATGCTGTTCTCACTGTGGCCAGCCACATGTCTGTGAGAAGCCCACAAGCAGGACCCGACAGCAAGACTGCTCTCCCCTCCGTTGTTTCTGATGTCCGGCTGTGGAGGCAGAGCTTAGCCATCATGGCAGGTAGCCTTTGATAGCCTTGACATAAGAAGAGCTTGCTAGATCAGGCCAATGGCTCATCTTTAGTCCACCATCCTGGTCTTACAGTGGCCAGACATATGCCCATGGGAAGCACACAAGCTTAGTGGTGTCCTAATTTCACTAGGGGGATGGCTTGCACAAGAGAAGGTATGGGGAGCCAGAATGGTACTTGTGGCCCCAGTGCTACCAGTTGCACCACAAGAAGAGCTTGGCTGCTGGATCAGACCAAAGACCCATCTAGTCCAGCATCATCTTCTCACAATGCCCAGCCAGATGCCTCTGGGAAGCTCACAAGCAGGACCTGAGGACCATAGCAGCACTTTCCCCATGGGCAGTTCCCACCAACTCCGATAAATGCCATGGTTGGCCTCCTGAAGGCAGCATGGAACATTGGGAGAATAGTCCAAGTCAGGTTCCTGGGTTCCTTCTCCCTGCTGGCCTTGCTAGTCCAGCACTGATCTCTCAGGTGCCAAGACTGACCTTGCCTGTTCCCTCTTCTAGCAAGTGGACTGGGAGGTGGAGCTGGCCTTCATCATTGGGAAGAAAGGAAAACACATCCAGGTGAGCCAGATGTCAGCAGTTTGCACCACATAGGGACCTGTGGTTTTGTTTTGATCTTACAGCTTGCCCTTTCCCGGGTGCCCAGGGCAGGGAGCTGCAGAATTAACACTGCACTGCAGGTCTGCACATATCTACTGAGAAGTAAGTTCCATTGTTTTCTGTGGTATAGCCAAGTTAGTGGGTGCAGGATTGTAGCCTAAAATGGCTGTGTTGTCGATATCTAGCACCATCCATGTCTTCAGTGCTTTGCAGTTTCATAAATAATAAAAATTGCCTTGTAATTTTACCAAGGTGTTCATAATCGCATAACCTCTGCTCACGTGACAAAATGTCCTGAGCATCCAGTTCTTTCCCGCCATTTAAAATTTAGCAAACCTGATAGTGCATCAATCAAAACACCACAGTTCCATAAAGCAACTGGTCTTGCAGTGTGAAAGGAATGCCATAAATTCGGATTGAAGCACCAGCATTATAACCATTAAAACTAACACAATAAACACTAAGTCTGAATGCAGCCCTAGATTACATCCCGAGTGGGAAGTAAGGCCTGCCCCTATTCAGGAATTTCCAAAGATTCATTCAGTGGTATTTATTAGTTTAGTATTACATTTATATCCAACCTTTCTTCCAAGGAACTCAAGGTGGTGTGCATGGGTCTCCTCATTTTATTCTTGTGCATATGATAACCAGGTTTGATGTGTAAAATATTGTTAAGCACCGGGGAGAGCGAAGAAAGGGTAGAAAAGGTATATGCCAGTGCAGAAGTGGGGAGGAGGAGGAGGAGAATAAAGCCATACCATTAGCAAACACAAAATAGCCTGTTAGTTCCCATGGCAGTATCGCTTGAGGTTTACCTAATAAAGGAAGTGCCCATTAACCTTTTCTTCTCCAGCCCCCGGTTTCACAGCGATATTCTTGCATCTTGCTTCTCTCCTCCAGGAGTCAGATGCCATGAGCCATGTAGCTGGGTTCACCGTTGCCCATGATGTGAGTGCCAGAGACTGGCAGATGCAGAAAAATGGAAAGCAGTGGCTTCTGGGGAAGACCTTCGACACCTTCTGCCCCCTGGGACCAGCCCTGGTCACCAAGGATTCCATCTCAGGTTTGGAACCAGCAATGACATCGCCCCCTTTGTCTTTTTGCCTCCAGGGTTTGAGGAGAGGACAAGCCTGTCTCAGGATCCCTTCCCAGCTGCTCGAGAGTAAATTTTGCATCTCCTAGAACCCTCTTGGGCAACCTGTGGGTCACCTGAGGACCACTAAGGCTCTCTGACCAAGCTCTGTCCTCTTCCTTCTGCTCCAATCACTGTTGCTCCTGCCTGCCTAGATTTCTTGGCCTACTGTTCATGGTGTATCCATCTGTGCAGAGGTGCATTTTTTTGGTTTGAGGTTGCAGAAATGTAATGTCCTTACAATAGAAGTACAGATGGGGAAACATCCAGGGTCACGTGTGCACAACTTGCCTGCACCCATCATCTGAATAAGTCATCAGTTGTGCTGACTCAACTGCACTGAATTTTTTTTTAAATTGCTGCAGTACTTCAGTGGAGGTGGGTCAAACATGCCCAGGGGTTGCACAGTATCGCTTGTTGAGCGTTCATCCTGATAAGTTCACACGGAGGTGGTACAACATTGCCGGCCAGCGGTGCTTCTCCTGCACTTTCCAGTGCAGTTAGAACAGTGGTGGGAAGGCTTAGCCTTGTATCTATGCTTCCTGATTGTTTTTGTATTTCTGTACATTCTTTTAGGGACGCGGGTGGCGCTGTGGGTTAAAGCCTCAGCACCTAGGACTTGCCGATCGAAAGGTCGGCGGTTCGAATCCCCGCGGCGGGGTGCGCTCCCGCTGCTCGGTCCCAGCGCCTGCCAACCTAGCAGTTCGAAAGCACTCCCGGGTGCAAGTAGATAAATAGGGACCGCTTACTAGCGGGAAGGTAAACGGCGTTCCGTGTGCTGCTCTGGCTCGCCAGATGCAGCTTGTCACGCTGGCCATGTGACCTGGAAGTGTCTGCGGACAGCGCTGGCCCCCGGCCTCTTAAGTGAGATGGGCGCACAACCCTAGACTCTGTCAAGACTGGCCCGTATGGGCAGGGGTACCTTTACCTTTACCTTACATTCTTTTATTCTCAATAAAATTGTACAAAACTTTTTTTAAAAAAAAAGAAGTAGTGATGGGATGATTGCATTGCAAAGTGCAGGATAATAACCAAATTTTGTGTGAATAAACAGCCCATGTAAAATAAGGGCAGTTTGTAAGGGCAGCTTTCCACATTGCCTCACTTCAGCAAGAACAGTCTGAGTCTCAGCAGCTTCCCAGGCCTCTGGACACACAGCCCAACCTATGATGACCATCCGGCAGGTTTGTTAGCTGGATGCATCTCTTTGATGTAAAGGGGATGCTGCCATGGGAGCACACATCTGGACCCACTAGTTCCTACTAGACTGCAGCTGCATTGCAGCCAGAGGTTTCTAAAGTGTTTGCAGTAAGGTCTGTGCAGTTACGATGTACATTAATAACACAAGTGCCCCGGGGACCCCGCAGTTGAACAGATAAGACTGCAGGGTTCCATCGTTCTTCCCTGATTTATCACAGAATACTTTTGTTAGAGCAAATCCATAAGGGCCTTAAGAGGAAGTGGCTGCAGCTCAGTGGTAGAGCATCTGCTTTGCATACAGAAGGTCCCAGGTTCAGTCCTCAACATCTCTAGGTAAGGGTGGGAATGCCCCCCTCTGAACCCCTGGAGAGCCCCTGCTGGTCAGGATAGGCAGTGCTGAGCTAGGTGGACATAGGGAAACTTCTGTGGGATGGCTCCCGTCGGTGGAGCAAGAGAAGACTCTCAATTACAGGGTCATGGTGTTCAAGCCCCACTCTAGGCAAAAAGATTCTTGCATTGCAAGGAGTAGGACTATATCAGAGGTTTTCAACCTTTTTGAGTCCATGGTTCCCTTAACCAACTACATTCTTTCTGAGGCACCCCTGTGGAACTCAGGAGCCCAGTTATGTCACCCCTTGCCTGCAGAGCTGGCAGCCCTTCACCATTTTCCCAAACGCCCTCCCTTGTGGAGTGTTCCCTCAGCCTCCTCCCCTCTTCCCTCTCCTTGGGAGTGCTCCAGGCAGCTGCTGCTGCTGCCCCTGATCTCTGAGCTGCCCCCCCCCCGCCCCAAAGAGAGGTGCCTCCCAGAAGCACCATTTGCCTGTGGAGCTTATAGCCAGGGCTGCTGCAATAAACAGCTGTGCAAGCCTTTGGGAGGCAGAGACGCAAAAGGGCATCAGAAGGAGGAGGGAAAGAAAGAGGGACAGAGGCCAGTGTTGCCCGCGGCACCCCTGACCATCATTCAAGGCACCCCAGGGGGCCACGGCACACTGGTTGAAAAGCACTAGACTAGATGACCCCTGTGGTTCCTGCCAACTCTGCAATTCTATGATTCCTGTGTTTCCAGAAGGATGCCCCATTTTCATAAATGCTGTGCCTTCTCTTTTGTGTGTGATTTCATGTTGCTCTCCTCTTGTTGCTACCAACAGACCCCCACAACCTGGGCATCCGCTGTCGAGTGAATGGGGAGCTTGTCCAGAACAGCAGCACCAGCCAGTTGATATTCAAGACGGAGGCACTTGTTGCATGGGTTTCCAAGTAGGTGCTCTCCATGACCCCCGTCTCCTCCTCAACTACTGTTGTCTATGCTCTGGTAACCTCGAGGTTAGATTACTGCAATGCGTTATATGTAGGGCGGCCTCTGATGACAGTTCAGAAACTTCAACTGGTATAGAATTCAACAGCTGGGTTGCTCACGGGGCAAGCCAGTGTGAGTCTATTACATCAATCCTAGCTGCCAATTTGTTTCCAGGCCTAATTCAAAGTGCTGGCTTTGACCCATAAGCCTTAAATGGCTCAGGACCACAATATCTCAAGGACCGCCTTTCTCCACATGAACCTACCCAGACCCTGCATTCATCCTCCGAGGCCCTTCTTCGCGTGCCTCCTCCTCTAGAGGTCCAGAGGGTGGCAACACGAGAACAGACCTTTTCTGCAGTGGCCCCCTGCTTGTGGAATGCTCTCCCCAGGGAAGTTCGCCTGACGCCTTCATTATACACCTTTAGGCGTTGGGCAGAAATGTTTCTTTAACTGGGCCTTTGGCTGATTGACAACCAATGTCATTTTAAATGTGTTATGGGACGACGGGGAGGGGTGGTTATTGGTTTGTTTTGTTCTTATACTTGTTCTTAATATGCATTTTGGGCTTTTATCCAGTATTTTTATATTGTGAACTGCGCTGAGATCTACAGGTGGTATACTGTACCAAATTAATGACTGCATGTTTCCATGTATAAGACTATATTCCCCCCCCCCTATTTTTTAAAGTTTAAAACTGGGGGTCATCTTATACACGGATAGTGCATATGGGGGATTTCTTTATTTGGAGTCTCAAAACATAGGGGTTGTGTTATACACGGGGTCGTGTTATACATCAAAAAATACGTTAAGTATGCCTTCAGTATCCCTAGAACGTCACCAACCTCTCCCCCCCCCCATTGTTGAGCCTGGACACTGAGGTCCACCTCCGAGGATCTTCTGGCAGTTCCCTCATTGTGAAAAGTGAAGTTCTGGGGAACCAGGCAGAGGGCCTTCTCAGCAGTGGCACCTTCCCTGTGGAATTCCCTCCCATCAGATGTCAAGAGAAGGAACTACACAACTTTGAGAAGATATCTGAAGGCAGCCTTGTATCAGGAACTTTTTAATGTTTGACGTTTTAGTATGTTTTTATATGTGCTGGAAGCAGCCCAGATGGGTGGGGTATAAAAAAATTTAATTTTTAGTAATAAATCTTGCTCTGGCCTGTTTTTGGCAGGTTCGTCACCCTGTACCCAGGAGATGTCTTCCTGACAGGGACTCCACCAGGTGTTGGAGTTTTCCAGAAGCCCCCCATCTTTCTCAAGGTGAGCCCTGTTCCCAATTAATTTGTAGGCTCTGCCAACATCTTCCCTTGTTTGAACTCTTTTGATTGGAGGATTGGCAGGGCTGCTTATATTCCCTTTGTAGCATTTTGACATTCTGAACAAGGCATCAGCTGTGAGGTCATCCCATAAAGCCAATAGACTAGCCCTTCAGTCCTATGGCCTCTGGCTGGGCATTGCAAGGGCCACAGGAAGGCACCAGATCTTCCTTTCTGAGGGCCAAGAGACTTTTGACCTTGGAAGGGCAGATCCCTCTGCATTGCTTGGGGAGCAGATGCCTCCACTGTGGGGCATAATGCTTATCAAGGGGTGGATCCAGCACCTCCTGTTCTCTCAAGACTGGAGAGGAAACTCGGTTGTATGTTGGAAGATTCAGCACAAACAAAATAATGTCCTCCTTTGCACTCACTCCCACAAGTGGCAGTGATGGCCAACAATTTATGGAAGATAAAGCTATCAAGGGCTAGTGGCCATGACGGCCATTTTCTGTGTCCACTCGTGGAGAAAGTTTGCTTCTATGCCAGTTACTTGGACACACGTGGGGCAAGTGCTGCTGTTGCACTTGTGGTCCTGTGAGGACAGGATTCTTGACTAGATGGGGCCCCTTTGGGGTGTAGTGGGTGTACTGAATCCACCCCCCCCCCTTATTCTCAGTGAGAGGGAAATAACTGTACTGCAGGTGGGGCTGGGGCAGGAATGGATGCAAAGCTCATCTGCCTCCACTTGTGCCCTGCTGGCAAGAACCCAGCAGAGTATGTGGTGGTTCATCCAACTTTGCCAGCCCATCCTTAACAAAATAATGTATCTTTACCCTACAGATGCCCTATTAGCAATTGGCAACAGCATTTAGCATTTAGGGAGGGCAGTCAAAGTCCCTATTAAGGGCTGAACACCCAAATAAACTTAAATAAAGTTGGGTAGCCATACCAAATACTTTGTGGGGTTTTTTTTTTTGTAATATGCACTTAAAACTGCATGTTTATGATACAGAAACATGCATTTTGATTTGTAAAAAAAAATGGGAACATAATATTTGGAGATGGGGTGCTGCACAAGCTGGAAGTCTGCTATTGTCTCCTATGTCAGTGTTATATTGTTATCGCAACTTAATGTAAGAGCTGCTGTAATTCTCTTGTACCACAGAGGGGAGATGAAGTGCAGTGTGAGATCGATGAGTTGGGAACTATCCGAAACAAGGTGGCATGACGGCATCCTGCTGCATCCATTCAGGTCCCCTGGCCCTGCACAGCTGCAATGGCTCTACTTGAGTCTCCTAATCAAATCCAATCACGAGAATAGATTAAGGGAACGGGGATGACTCCTCCCGGGAGTCACAAGAAGACGGAGCCTGAAAAACTGGTTCAACAGCACTGCAATTCCTGGGCACCATCTCAATGAAGAAACATGAAGGTGAGCCTGAGTCTTGCCTTTCCTCTGCCAACCAGAAGTAAGAGGGAGGTCATTCATCATCTCTGGTACAGAACAGGCTCAGTGGGTGGGTTTCCCCTTTGTACTACAGAACTCTTCGATTGTTCACTCACAATAAAGCAGCTACTATCAAACTAATTGGGGGTTTGGATATACAACTTTTTTTAAAGCATGGAATTTTGATTCATGGGCCACAGGTTGAAATATCTCACAAAGGGCTTGGAGGTGTTTGACCAATAGCTGTGCAAGGAAGGATCCCTTCTTCACAAGTAGATATAGCTTTTCTGTGCACAGTATGGTTCTGGCAGAAGAAGCTGCAGGTGCTGTAATTCTTCACAGCCCCTCTGCCTGAAGAGCAAAAAGGGTTCCCAGCTATGAAGGGGGCAGGGAAGCCTGAGGAAGACTTGCTGTAGAGTCCTTGGAATACCTAAAGTTTGGTAACTGTTGGTAATCACATCTGAATACTCGCAATTTCAAATGGATTTGGAATGCATAGCAATAGATATTTCCCTATTTTGTCAACCCTTGTGTCCAAAACAACATTTAAGTTACTAGCAACATGCACTGGTGGTGTGCTTGAGTTTTCACTCAAGTCTTCTCTAACCTGTTGTTGTAGGATGCAGGATATAATAGGAGTTTTAGTCCAAAATACCTAAGGGGCACCAGGTTGGGGAAGGACAGAGCAGGCACAGTTAAAATGCAGTCAGAAAATATTGTTTATTACTTTCAAAGTCAGCAACAATGGCTCCCAGGGGTGGGGTGCAATCTAAATTATTTTATAAATAAAACACAAAATCATACAAACTACACTCCTAATGCTTAACAAATGGATTTGAGTTCTTTACTAATTGGCCTCAACACTGGCTCACTGAATTCCTGACAAGAGGCAACTTTTCAACTGGGATTTCAAAAGGGTCACACACCTGTGCAAAGACAACTTTCAAAATAAAGTTAGAAGGCGTTATACCCCACCCCAACATATACACCTAGGAAGCAGAAACTACACCTTCTGGATACCATACAAGGCCCCTTGGAAACACTAGCTGTAGATAAACTGCTGGATAAATTTCTCCAGCTTCTCTTGGTTCTCTTTGGCACGGAAGGTCTCGGAGAGGTGAAGAATGGGCTCCCCTTGCCCTGCTGCTTCTCTCAGCACCTAGAGTGGAAATTAAAAGGGGGGGAGGGGTTAGCAATCCCATACCCCACTGAAGGCAGATGCAACAAGGGCTTTCCTTAGGTGAGTAGCAGCCAATGAAGTGGGTGGGGGAATTCTTTACTGTCACCTCACACATCTTATTGTGTGACATTACTGTGGAGAGGAGAGGAGCATCTCTTTTCAGAAACAGCAAGGTTTCTCCTGATACTGGCTACTGCAGCTCTCAAAGGCAAGCTGTATAGAAACCCACCAAGACAGGTGGAAGATGAAGGAAAGGAGCTGCTGCTGTGGGGGGCTCTACGCCCTCAGCCTCTGCCTGAGAGTGACAAGCCAACACTGGCTGTACATGTGCAGGGGGTACATAGATACAGTGCTGCCCCGCAAGACGAATGCCTCGCAAGACGGAAAAGCCGCTAGACGAAAGGGTTTTCCGTTTTGGAGGTGCTTCGCAAAACGAATTTCCTATGGGCTTGCTTTGCAAGACGAAAATGTCTTGCGAGTTCCCGCAGGGGTTTTTTCCTCTCCCCCCCCCTTTTCCCAAGCCGCTAAGCCGTTTATCAGCTGATCCGCTAAGCCGCTAAACAGCTGATCCGCTAAGCCGCTTATCAGCTGATCCGCTAAGCCGCTTATCAGCTGATCCGCTAAGCCGCTTATCAGCTGATCCGCTAATGGGCTTGCTTCGCAAGACGAAAAAACCGCAAGATGAAGAGACTCGCGAAACAGATTCTTTTCGTCTTGCGAGGCACCACTGTATACATATATCATATCCTCAGTAATCCAGCAAAGGAGAAATCACTGCTAGACTCCACGGGATTTGAAAACACACAAAAAATGCACTCAAGCTGTGTAGGTGGAGTGGCTGCAAAAGGATACAGTGCTTTGGCCACATTGCTGTATGGCAAAGAGTCACCCATGCGACTGCCTGCATTTGGCGAGATGGAAGACCAGGAGTGAGGGTAGCAACAGAGGCATGCAAAGTCCCTCAGGGATGGAATTTGAACCTGGCCTCCCAATCCGTAGACCATTGCTGGGTGGGATCCAGGACAAGCAGGACCTGAAACTCTGGGTGAGTATAAAAAGCAGCACAAAGAGATAAGAAACAACCCACATTTTTTGTACTGTGACCATAGGGGCTAGGAAACTGCTTTTGCTTCTTAAATAAAGCAACACTTCCGAGATGCTCAGGAGTGCTGCAAGATGAAATACAGGTGGCACAATTATCTCAGATTAAGAACTGAATATAGCAATAGAGGCGTGTTTGGAGAATCAGGAACACCTGAAAATGGATTATGGAGGGCATGAAAAGGGAGATTCTGGAATGCGACCAAAGACTTTGCACATTGGAGGGGCAGGCAAGGCAGGGCACTCACCCCCAGTTCCTTGTAGATGCGGACAGAGATGGTAGTCAGAGTTCTGCAGACACATTCTGAAAAAGTAAAATGAAATGGACAGAAAGGTTCAATGTGGGAGAGAGGACAGACGCCCCCTACCCCCCCCAGGCAGGTTTCGAGTCTAGTGGTGGCACAATTGCAGTGAGGTAATGTCATCAAGCACTAGGGGGCAAAGTTGGCTTGTAAAAACTAGCTTCTAATCTAGACCCAGGGGGTTATGTTGTGCTGGTTAAAACAATAAAGGAAATGCCATGTCAGAGCTGTTGTAACTAAGAGACTGAACATCAGATCATGAAACCTTCGGTTCAAACATTATTTCTGTCATCAGCTCACTTGGTGGTCTTCGTGGAGCCAAAGCCTTCCCCCCTCAACTGCAGTTTTGGATAATCGCCCACCACTGGGAGGATTAGAATATAGGATACAATAAGCACTTTGAACATTCAAAACACACTGTGCAAAAGCTAAGTATTGATAAGTGTTTTACTTGCTACATTTTAAGAAGGATGTAAAACAAACCTGGAGAGATTTATGGGCAGAAAAAGAAGAGGGTGTTGGGAAAGCCTGTGAGGAGGAGGAAGAGTTTAAGGAACTGGAGCCTTTTCAGTGATGGGAAATGGCCTTCATGTATCTAGGCTAACAGCTGTGGTTCACCACTACCACAGGCCTCAGCATAAGAAAACGGGGTGCTTAAAATAAAAGGGTTTTAGGTAATTTCCCATTTTATGAGGTCACAAAATCCTTGTCCATCAACAAGGGCAGTTTGGTATAAAGTTACTTAGGAGTAGCTCTATACTACCAAGAAAACTGACTCTTCTGTCTATCGTGGCTTCGCCAAAGTATCTCTGGCAGCTGTAGGACTGTGAAAGGCTCAGATTTCTCTCTTAAGGTGGAGTTCAAGGCTGCTGACTGACCCACAGCTTGCTTAACTGCAGAGGCTCAAGTCTTGTCACCAGGGAACCAGCAAGGAGGCAACATACCCAGAAAGATACAGAAATGCTAACATGAGAAGAATGTTCAGCTGGTCATCAAAGCTATTAGCATTATCAACAAGTGACTAGGGGCTCCACTCCTGCTTGCTCTGCCTCCCAACCAATCCCCACCCCCACCCCCTAAACCTCACCAGCCCCACCCTGCCTCCACTAGCCCATTAGATTGTGTGGGGAACCTTTGTGGCTTCCACTTCACAGGCCAACCTTGATGGGGGCAGGGCAGCGCACATGTCAACCACAGGACATAATTATGATGTTGCAGTGCTGACAGGTGAGTTGCCCACCCCCCTTTGTACCCAAATCCCAACATCATAGTTGAAAGGCGGAGTGGAAGATGCTGTTCCATGCCAATGCTTTCAACTTTTTGAGACCTGTCCATCTACTTTTCCTCCCCCTGCCTGTGGTGTTGGATGTCCAAAGGAGTGCCAGCCCTACCTGCCAGAGCCCCTCGTGCCACCAGACCTCACCACCCTCTCCCCTTAGAGTTTCCTTCCATGGGGAGAAGGGAGGTGAGGTGGCAGCAGCCAGCCAAGACAAGCCACAAAGGAACAGTCACAACAGGCCAGGTCAGCTGTCCTGCTCTTTCCCTGTTCCCTCATCCTCTGCCACTGAGGCTGAAACAGCAGTAGTGAACTGGGCAATGGCAGCTGCAGAGCAGAGAAGTTGCTGAAGAGCTGTCTCAGTTTGTCATGGCTTCCTCCACGGGCTGCCTGCCGCCTCTGCCCTCCATTGCTGCTGCTGCCCAGCAGCTCCCATGCTATTGTCATGCTGTACTTCACAGCACCATCTGTCGGTGGCCAAGCAAACTGCCACATGATGACAAACCTTAGCTGCTTAGCATATTTATATACACATAACATTTCTATAGCCCTTTCAAGTGTTCAAAGTGCTTTGCAAAGTGTATTATCTAGCGGTGAGCCTAACAACAACACTGTTAAAGTCAACAATATTATCTCACCATCTTGCTGGTTGGTGCATGGAATTGATGGCAGCCGAGGTGAGATTCAAACTGGGAAAGCCCCAGTTTGCAGCGCTGTCCTGTAGCCACTGCATCACACCAGCTCTACACTTATTCGCTTGGCTACCACCTGGCCCTCTCTGGGCCTCTGCACTCACCAAAGGAAGAGTCTTCTTTTGCCTTCCTTGCCAAACAACAGTGCAGCTTCTCCACATACTGGGACTCTGTAGGGGATAGCAGTGCTGGTGGTCAGAAGGACACAAAGCAGAAAGCAAAGGGAGGTCACTAGCCTCAGCTGCACCATTAGCACTGGGAGAGGGATCTCTGCACCATGACAAATGTCTAAGGGTCACAGCAGCTCAAATTCTAAATATGAATCTGCAGGGTCAGAGGTTGCATCCAAAGGTAGAAAGAAACTCAACAATATCTTTGGTTTCTTTTTTTAAAAAATCCAGAATAAATCATGTGCAACCACAGTTTCCGTATAGTTTGTCAATAAACAAAAACCAAACACAGTTGATTAATGGCATCCACTTTTCCTAAGAAGCAGTACAGGGCTTAACTAACAGAATAGTACACTGAGATGCAAGATTATAAAACAATGTACACCAGGGGAAAAACCTAATCACACAACCAGCAACAGC